TGCTTTTCCCATCCGCAGGAGCGACTCAAAGTCTTTTGAGTCATTACATTCAAGTATGGGGTCTTCACAACCCTATGCCACACCCATAAGAATGGTTATTATGTAAAAAACAAAGAAACAAAACTTTAGCAAGGCTGTAGGGAGACTGAACTTACTTTCAACATTAATAAAATAGTAGATGAAGTCAAAGCAGAAACGATCATGGTTGTTGCCTTTCTTGGCATGCAAAGGTGCCACTGTTGTGTTTCTATCTGAGAACAAGACAGCAGGGGAAGAACCCTGTACTGCAGCCACCAGCTCCATGTTGCCCTTGCATGTTGTCGGTGCCTCAGCTTTTTCTAGCCTTTGTTCCTTAAAGACCTGAATTCCTATTGAACCGGCCTGTGTCTGGGTACCATTACTTTACCATGCTGTTAATGGTGAACATGAAATTACCAAGAGCAGTCCTGTGGATCCAACATGATCTGTCCATCCTATTGCATCGAGGCAACTGACTTTCTCCCTGAAAAAATCAGGTCACTCTTCCTCGGTGTCCAAGTAATCTCTTTGTCTGTCAGTTGGTTCAGTCATGTGAGAAGTTCAAAGCAGCCTGATGACAAGCTCTCCTTCCAACCAAATGCAGCCACTGTTGTGTCTTCCAGCAACAGCATCCCTTCTTGGGTACCAATGGGCTGGCTTAGCCCAAAGCTAAAGGGGAAAGATCAAAAGTTCCATGAGTAATGTGAAGAGGGATCTTTTCTATTTTTAATCCTGAATCCCCAGACTCATGTATTCTTGTTGTTAAGGGATATAGTGTGACTGGTCTTTGGGTCAGGTATTCCAGCACACCAGCATTGTAAGTAGGTTCCCAACTGGTAAGAGCTGAATTCTGCCCAGGCCATCTCGCTGCTCTGCATTGCCAGCTACCTCTGGATGATTGGATGTATGGCTGGAGAAGGGAAGGACTGGAGTCTGCACTGTTCCACTTTTGGTCAGGAACAGTGTTAAACAAGATACTGTGACTCTGATTAAGACCCTGAGTGGACTTAACAGAGGGACTAGTATAAATCTTTCAGGCAAGGAAGGCAACCCATACCCCAAAGTGCCTGTCACATGTGGAACTGGCAGACTGGGAAGGAAGGAGTCTGTCTGCATAGCCACTAGCGTGGGCCTTTGCCCTTCCTTGCTCTTCCTTGGGCACAGTGGTGCTTGTTCTTTAGCCAGCATGCTCCAGGCTCTGCAGGCTGTTACCACCAAGCTGTGCTCAGCACTAGGAAGCAGCCGTGAAAGATCAGGGAAGAGACAGAAATGGGTGTGTGTCGTTTCTGATGCAGCCCAGATCTTCAAATCAATCACTTTTGAAATCATTTATGATGTTTCTTTCATAACTCCATGTAGCCTGCTGAAAATGCAGATTTTTTTCTCTTCCTTTCAGTAGATAACAGAATTAGTTAAGATCTAAATGGAGACAATTTTGTGCATCCTTTGCAAAATTCTTTGAAATGAATTCTTGTCAGATAGGCTTCTGTAAAGATTATAATTGTGTGGTAAAATTAAGTTAAACAGATTTAACACTCTTGGCAAAATTCTCTTAAATGAATCCTTGTCAGATCAAGGTCTTTAAAGATTTTTTTGAAAGTGTGGTAAAATAAAAGCTTAAGAGGCTTACCACACTTCTTCAGTTTCATGGGCTGTGTGAACTTGTTGGCCAGCTGGCTATGAAGGGGACTCTTCCCTAGAGATCAGTTCTTTAACATAAGAGTTGCGAGTTTTCCTTTCTGTCCCTGGCTATACATCATGTCATCTCTGCACAATGATGAGGGAGGATCTGTTACTACCAAGTACCAGTTACCTTACCTTCTCAACACAATTATTCTGTTGCCCATGGCATTCAAAATCATATCTTCATTAAATAATATACTTTCAAAATAAGGAGAAGACAAATACTGTAAAAATTCATATCTCGAAAGAGGCAATAATTCTCATCCAAATATCGGTAGCCAATATTGTGGTTGTGAGATATTTTCAGAAACATTGGTTATGTCTTTAGCACAACTCAAGACCAGCCACAAGCTGGTCCAGCCACCAGCCACCTTCCTCCTAATTTTGTTCTACTGTCTGTGATTCCTGGGTCCTCCTGTCTCCTCCTTTCCTGGGATTCCTAGATTACACTGTGTGTGCCGTGCAATTGTTTATTTGACCCAACTATATACCATCACTAAAAATAAGCTACACCAAACATTTTCTGTGATATTAAGAGTTCTCCACTAAATAATTTCTAATGACTCCACACTATAGATATGGTACAATTTAATAAATCAGAGAGTCTAGAAAATAAATCTGCAGTCAGGCAACGTTAGCCATCCCACTAAGATTATTGTAACACATAAAAATCTTCTACCAGGCCCTTTGACTCATATACAAATCCTCAAAGGAATGATTTTGTATGTGAAATGGTTATAGCTGTCAATCAGTTATTCTCCATGTCATGGTTTCTATGTGTCTTCCAGGCTGTTAGGGGGTGATTATGGGTTCCTGTCAAATGAGATGTCTTCTATGTATTCAACATGAGGCAGTTTGTATTTTTCTAAGTCTATTCCTCTCCTGTCTGAGGAGGTTAAGCAAATCTCAGTGATCCAGAGGGAAGAGGACCAGCATCCAGTGCTGGGAGCATGCACAGACATGCCTGGGGCGCACAGACCTGCACACATGGATTAGACTTCTGCATAAATACACTTGTCTTGATTGTCATATTCCACCAGAGTTAGACCTGCATGCATAAAAATGGCTCCAAGCCTGGATTTCAAAGCTCTTTGTCTCCCCTCTTGCTTTTTAACCACCTAGCTCAGAGACAATTTTTGTGTTATATCTATCAAAGATGATTAAGGGACTGGAAATTTGATTTGTAAGGACACACTAAGAAAAGTAAATATTTGCAGCCTGGCCCAAGGGAAGATATTATAAATGTTTTCTGGCCACACATCATGAAGAAGACAGACTTGGTTTTGCTTCTCCCAGTAACTAGATTTTAGGGACAGCAAAATATAGAGGAGGTTTTCTGAGGATGATCTCACTTATGCTGATTAGATGATCGAGTCAGTTAAAAATTGCATTTAGCAGCCACTAGCAAAGTAGAGATAACCACAGCTTAAACAAAGAGGCCTTCATTTTCTCTTCTCTGACATGAGGCCTAGAAGCATGTTGTCTGGGGATGAAGTGTGGTACCTGTAATGTCGAAGTATGCTTGAACCATCTTACCTTTAGGCTCCATAATTTGTAGCAGTGACTTCCACTTTGAAGGTCTCCTGTTGTTTGAGAAGAGTCACTATAGCTCAGTTGTTATGACTGCATGCCAGAAAGGGAATAGACAAAATTAGTCCTTATCCACCATGATCACTCCAGAGAGCTTTCTCCTATGCAGCTCTGACTTCTTATCACATGGCACTCACTCCCACATTTGCAAGTGAACTGTGAAATTTAGGAAGATTGTTTCATGTTTTGACATTGGGCACACTTTCAACCACAATAATATGAAGGTAGGATTAGAATAATGAGCACTAGGTAGGAGAGCAGTGATTTCTGTCACAATAATTTACCTCTAGAGAGACTGTAGTGCTACAAGGTTCCGTTTGTTACACTACCCTTGAGACTTAGTTCGCACTGCTCTCACTCTTACCTGTTAAAGTGCATTTATCAACACATACCTTAAGTTGATTTAAGTAACTCGACTCCTCGGTGGCCCTAAGAAAATAATCACTAAAATGTTATGATTCCTATTAGATGCCAAGCATTGTGTTATGCATGTAAATATTCCTGGGCAGGGGATGAGAACAGAGGATTCACGATTCATTACAAGTTGCTGGGGGATGGCCATTGGATTTGTTAATATTCTGCTTTTGTGAATACTGATATTTTCCCAATGAAAAGCTTTCAAAATCACCTCACCTAATCCTCACTTTACTTCAGAAGAAGTCAGTACGATTGCCACCCGATGGATCACTCGGGGAAGTCCCGAATCCCACCCTCAGCAAGCAGCACACTAAGGCTTCACACCTGGGTTTCCCAACTTTGAAGCCGGTGCACAATGTGCATTTTACCTACATGTCACTTGGAAACTAGTTGGATGTGTGTCATTTGTGGAGTCAGTCACCCCAGAGTCTTTTCTCAGATCACCGGTAGAGTTTGTCAACACTCAACTTTCATATGCACAGCCCAATGTGTTTTATTGCCCCTTTAGCCACAACTTACCCAAATCAGCCCATCTCCTGTAATTTTTCCGTTTAAGAACATAACCGTCTGTTGAAATGAAATTAATCTCGAGCAATGGCTTAGTGTCAGACATCTTTAACAGCACTTAATTCAAAGCATGTTTTCTGTCAACGATGAACAAACACCTATCCTAGTGCTGTGTCTTAAGTGCCTAAATGTCCATGAAGAGTCTTTTTTGTTGTATTTTATGTTGCTATTCACTATTTACTCAGAGCTTAAAGTGTAGTTTTGCATTTAAATAGAGCCCTTACATCTGTTTGCTAAGGTGAACTTAGAACAGGCTCCAGGCACCTCTTTCATCCTCCTCTAGTGTCAGCTCTGCATATCTACCATGTGTGTAACCTCAGTCCTAGACAGGGCTTCTCATTTCAGCAGCAGTCTCTGCCCTCCCACTCTCTCCTCTTCCTCTCTCCCTCCACCCACTCCTCACTTAGAAGAAAGATTTGCGAAAACAGAGCAGTTCATTTTCCAAAAGTCATCCCTGCTGTGTCTGGCCATGTGGTCTCCAGAGTCTTCACTACACCTTGTCACTTTCTCACACCCTAAGAACATCTGAAGGCAGTTGGCTCTGGGAAGCCCAGTGAGTTAAAAGGTCCCTGCATTGCACTGCTTTGTTCCTAGATTTTTCTGTCACAACATAGATTACTGCTTATATTTCATTTGTTTCAGATTCTTTTTAAAATAACCTAATGAAACATGTCCCCAGCCTTTCCCAAATAGTAACTGAAGTGTGGCTTTGATTTGTTTTTCAGGGCAGCTTTTGGCAAGGAATCTGAAGTTCTAATTGGGAACCTTGGTGACAAACTGATTCCTCCACAAGACATTCTCCGTGACGTCAGTGACCTCAAAGCCTTGGCCAACATGCACGAAAGCTTGGAATGGTTGGCTGGCCGAACAAAGTCAGCTTTTGCCAACCTCTCTACTTCCCAGAGTAAGTGCCCAGGAGGGTGGCAACTGCTGGGTGATTGCAGAGCCTGGCTGAGTACTTCCATCTGGAACATGAGTGTGTGTGTGCTTATCCTCTAATGGAGCATGCCCCAGTTGTTAGAGCCCTGTTTGTTCATACTGCATCTCTCTTACTTTGAGATTCTGGGGAAGAACTCATCTTAGCTTCCCTCTGTGGAGTAGGAGAAGCCAAAACAGATCATGTCTCATGGCTTCATACTAAACCCTATAAACACAACACACTGTAAAATGGAAGTACTGAGTCTCAAGAATAGAAAGCAATTCCTTTTGTCTTCCTTCTAGCAACTTCTCTTAGAGCCTGAGTGCATGGCTACATTCTTCCTCTACCTAGATAAAAGCTAATAAAAAGCATCTAAAAAGAGAATAATAGAAGTGATTTAAATAGAAAATAGAGGTAATAGGTATGACAATTATTCAGGAAAAGAGAAAGATGAAAGATAACAGTTATAGGTCTGTAAGAAATTGAGGATTAGGGTAGGAAATAAAAAATGAGAACTGTTTTATCAAAGACCAATTGTTTAAAGAAAAATAATTAGAAAACTTTAAGGCACATAAACTTTAATTGCTATAAAATAAATGCTTTTTATAAAGATTTATTTTATGTATATATGGTTTTCCTGCATTTGTGTATATTTACTGTGTGTATGCCTAGCACCTGTGAAGCTCAAAAGAAGGTGTGGGGTTCCCTGGGACTGGAGTTATAGGTGGCTATGAGTCCCCATATTGGTGCTGGGAACAGAACCCAGCCCAGACCCTCTGCAAGGGCAGCAAGTGCTGGGCCATCACTGTAACCACTAATAAATGCTTTTTAGAAAGCATTAATTAATTCATCATGAGTGTTCTAGAATGCATGATGTAAAGGAGAGGCTGAGGAACACTAGTGTGGATAAAGAAGAAAGCAAGTTTAGATGTGCAAGTGGAGAGATAGAAACAAAATAAGGAAAAACAAACTCTTGGCAGGAAGAGAGCAGTGAGATTATCTCTGTCCTGTTACAGCTAGCGATCATTAGGTCATTAGGAAGAAATTGCCCGTGTTTATTGTGACTATAAACTTTGGAATCAGTTATTTATTATCAGTGTCCTTTGAGATGTTATTATTTTTTGAGTAGCCACAATTGCAGCCTAGAAATGGAAAAGGAGTGGATGAAATTCACAGAGATAAATTGTTCTGTGAAACACAGGCCCATAGCCAGAGTCTGTGAGATCCCTTGAAGGCTCATTGCTTGTGCCCTCTAGTGCTGACCATGTCCCGGTCCTCACAGCAGGTGCGGAACAGAAGGGGGAGGGCAACAGAAGCAGGGTGCAGGTAGGAATCATGTCATGTGCTTTGACTTTCTCTTCACTTATACTTTTATTTTAAAATATTGTTTTATCTAATTAGACAATGGCACATGTTTACTCTCAGAAATTTGTACAAATAGGAAATGTACCTGTTAGGAGTAGTTTGGGCCGCTATTACATTTGAGCAGTCTGCATAAAGAGCTATCTGTGAAAGCCCACTCCAACTTTACAATCCCATAATCACAAATCTGTCACACGCAGCCACTGAAATCATCCCTTTTCTCTCTGAGGCCCACTCTGTTCTTCCTCTCTCTAAAAAAGTCAGAGCTAATTTCCTCTTTGCTAAATACCAACAGCTCTGAAAAGGGACTAGGTGCCTCTTTACCTGGTTTCTTTTGGCTCATGTGAATGCAGGTATATCTCTGCACGATGTTTAGAAGGGATATGCTTGTTTTCCTGGCATATATATATAAATATCTAATATTTTATAATGCATTTTTATTTGGGGTGGCATACTGTGCTACATTTCTAGTTTGTCCATTCCCAAAGGGTTTCACAAGATAAAATAATTTGCAGCTAGCCACTGAGTGATTCCGGCAAGCTAAGCTAACTTGATGCCAACTGTTCTCTAAAGGAGAAAGATGCTCTCCAAGTTACACTTAACTTTGTAATTGCTCAATTTAGCTGTTGTGTTCATGTCACTGAGAGTACCCAGTGGAGATGATGTCTAATTCATGTCTTTAATCATCTCTGTTATTCTGACAAATCTCTCTTCCACTACACCCATTAGTGCTGTGTCTAGTGTGCTTGGTTCCATTTTATAATACAAGTTGCATGCTCTCAGTTCCTTTTGGGGGGATTATTCCACCCAGTGAGTGATTTAACTAACTGTCAGCATTTTTAAGATCAGTTCAAAACCCAAGTGAACTGTAATCACTACTTTGGGTGTCTTTGCTAAAAAAAAAAAAAAAAAAAAAAAAAAAAAAAAAAAAAAAAAACACCAAGCAAACTTGATTTATCTTGCTAGCAGTCAGCCTGGTTCACCCGCACTTGCCAGGTCTGTGAATTCCCAGAGAGATGCCCATTGGTGTTTGTCATCTGAACAAAGAAGAAGATTCTGTTATTGGCCTACTTTGATTGTTCCATGTCAGTGTGACTCTACACCAGTGTGAGTGTCTAAAAAAGGACAGCTCTTTATTGTTGTTTGGAAAAGTAGACCAAAAGATTACATCATCTCAAGTATTTCCAAGCCAAGAGACTGGAAAGCTTGAAGATGATGCCCAGTGAGATGGGGCAAAATCAGGCTTATTTCTCCTTCCATACCCTGGTGACTATTTGCTGTGGTGAATGCCATGTTGCATTAAACTCACATTACAACTGTAATGGACTAGAGACAGCTGGCAAAAACCATTTTCATACTAAACGTCTCTTCAGTCAAGTACAGCAAGATCCTCTACCACCAGAAACATGTTATGGCCTCCTGAGAAAATTATCATCTATTGGTGGCAAAGTATAGTTGGTCACATATTGTCCAGGAGATGAGAGTGAATGACATTCCCAAGGATGATTTTTTTTTCTATTTTCCTAAGTGCCACTGTCTTCTTTACGCACAAAGTGGTCCTCCCCCTTCCCTCCATGCTGACTGCAGAAAGCATTGCTTTTACATTGGGACTTCTACACTTCATGGTTGCTGTTCCATCTCTTGAGGGTGTTCTCCCCTCAAACTTCTCTGCATCTGTTCCCTCCAGATTGTTTTTCAGATGGACAATAGAGAGATAACTCAGACGACCTGAGTTCAGTTCCCAACATCCTGATGAAGCAGCTCACAACTGCCTGTGCCTCCAACCCCAGGGGATCCTGAATCCTCTTCTGGCACTCGTGTGTGTGTGTGTGTGTGTGTGTGTGTGTGTGTGTGTGTGTGTGTGTGTGTGTGTTGTGCTCATGTGCTGTGCGTGCACAACATGAATGTATCACACAGCAAATGTATGAGGTCAGAGGGCAGCTTACACAAGTCAGCTGTCCCTCTCTACCATGTGAATTCTGGTGATCTAACTCAAGTCATCAGGGTTGTTGACAAGCCAACTGAGCATGGGGTTTTCATGGTGGACATTTGTACATGTTTCCCACCATTTACCACTCCATTGACTTTTTGCTTCTCAGAAGCTTTTTAGTTTAAGTTTAATGCAGTCCCAGTTGTCTGTTTTTGCCTTGATTTCCTGTTGGAAAGATTGTGCTTTCTACAGTGTGCTTACCTCTTTGTTGAAAATCTTTTGATTATAAACTCATGACTTTATTTCTCCACTCTCCATATGGATGTGTCAGTTTCTGAAAGTAGGTACATCGACCTGAACGAGACTCTGGGACATGTTCTTCCCAGGTTGCTTTCTCACAGAATCCCTGCATTCTGTCTTAGATTTTGTTCAAATCTCTAAGATTACGGTTCTACCGCTTCCTCGGTTATACACTGCACTGTGCTACTTAAGCTAAATTACTACTTAAGAGGCCATGTTTTCTATATGCTTTAGTCTTTTATTCGTGTATTCTATTCAAAAAATAAGTACTCAATATTTTCTCTTTAAAATGTATCTACAGGGCTGGAAATGTAGTAGACTATTTGCCTAGCATGCACAAAAACTAAGTTCAATTCCCAGGATCCCATAAAACAGGAATTGTAACACTGGCCTGTAATCCCAAAATTCAGGAGTTGGAGGCAGAAGGGTCAGAAGTTCAAAGTCATCTTCAGTTACTTAGTTTTGACCACCATTTTCTTCTCACGCCTCAACAATGTTTCTATGCCTTAAGTACATGGAATTATTGCATATATTTCTTTTAAAATTCATCTGAGTTTTAATCAGTATTAATGTGTCACCCTTTATTTTTGTTTTACAAACATTTTCTAATTGAGAGACTTTGTCTTGTTGTGCTATGTAATATATTCTAGATATTTCACTGGGCTGCACTATATCCCCCAGCCTATAGGGGCTATTTTAATTAAGTTAAAATGTCATTTTCTCTTTCTTGCGGCACTATATCCACCAGCCTATAGGGGCTATTTTAATTAAGTTAAAATGTCATTTTCTCTTTCTGACCACTTCACTATCATCAGCTCATTCTATTGGACATTGTTGTGGCTCATCATTTCACCCACTGATTTTAACAGTAACAGTTCATATACTCTGCCCTTGCAGCATACTCAAAATGTCTTCTTGGTTGTCTTGAAACCTGAATAACTATTTGAGCTGTTTAGCCCTAAATCACATATGCACCCCAACAGAGATGTATGTTATTTCCCCTCTCTTTTCTAAGCTGATTTTTCTGTTGATGTTTATATATGCTAAAAGGGAAGGGGTGAGTGCTCACATAATCTCAGGAAACATGATGTTGAAACACCTTGAATATGCCTCTCTACCCCGAATCTACAAAGGTTTCCAATGTATTGACTTGGCTACAGCAGACATGTTTCTCATGGAAACCTCTGGCTACAAGGTGATGGAAGGCCTTTCCCCATGAGCCAGCTTCTTGGCCCCCCAGTTCGGTGCTGTAGTGCTGTCATTTGTTTCTCCCATCCATGGCAGGCGCAGATGTTCCACAGTTGCAGGGACTTAATATCTTATTCATGACAAATTTGTACAACCCCAGGTGACTTCTCTTGTAATCTAATTGTTTCGCTATTCAGTTGCTTGG